ATGGGATATCCATTGACCTTTTTAACAAAATACATGTAAACACACACACACACACACGCACACACATATATATATTTGATTATGAATGGCATATTTGTAATTGTGATACAAATAAATACTTTTTTAATTGACTATCCAAATACAATTTTTATAAAATCATTTTTATTTAAGTATTTTTTATAATGAGCATCCAAACGATGTATATGGAATAAAGTATTTTTTAATAAAGTGGTTTTTAAAAAGTAATTATTTAATAAATCATCTCAAACACACTCTTAGATCTTTACTAGTTGATGCACACGTGAATTATTTCGAGTTATAATTTTTCTATTTTATTTTTACAATACAATATTATTTGATCAATTTATAGTTAAATAACCATAGTGGAACTTCTAAGTATGTTAACCCAAAAAAAATGTTAGATCTTCATTAGTTAAGAAGTGTGGGCAATTTACTCTTGTCAAGAGAATTTTGATTACTACAACAACGTACACCAATTATTAAAGGCAAAATGACTTTATAGTGATAGGAATTAATTGCCGTAAACTTGTATTTACTTTTCCTCGTCGCCTTGATCAAATTAGGAGGTGTTTATCCTTAGATATCTATGTCTCGGCATTTTCCTCTTTGGTGGTGGGGTGGGAGGCATTCAAATAGGAGCTAACCATGGACTCGTGACTCTCATCATATACCACACACAAGCTTAATTTCTGAAAGTCATTTGGGCTGTGTGGACCGTGGAGGGAATCATGGCAGTTGCCAACCCTATTTTTCCTCTTCCACTTTCATGGTGTACCCATGAACTTTATAATAATGATGTCAGACTAATCCTAAATTTTTAGAGCTTCAAAACTCTTTTACTTTTTTTTGTTTACGTAACACTTTGGTTGAAATAAAATTAAGATGACAATTGTCATGTGTGTTCGACATTTAACAAATTACAAGACAAAAGAAAAAAATATATCGTTGACCAATTTCTTGTTAAAACACTCTGCAATTCATATTCATTTAAAATTATTTGTACCAAACTCATAGACTTGTAAAGTATACACGCACAAACGAAATTGTGAACACCTTACACGTATTTCAATTCTATATTTTGCTTCTCCCCATTATGCTTAGATGTACTGGGTAAAAACAATCAAAATCACAATAAAATATGTTTACTACTATGAAATATAAAAGTTCCATCCCAACTTTAAAAATAGAAACTAAATAGGCCATTTTTTCCCTATAAACACCCACTTAAAGTAGCATAGGTTGTAGAAGCCATTGAAATTTAGAATTCATAAGGCTGTCACGGTTTCATGCTATCTTTTAGTTTGCCAAGTAATAAATGGTGGCACTAATTAAAGATAACAATTGATAGGGTGGCTATTAATGTGTTTACAGGGTTGAACTTTTTTGCAAGCCTTAGGCAAGGCTGAAATTAGGATAGATCCCGACTGGTCAAAAGTTTAAGTAAGGTTGTTATATCTGTTTAAACTGAATATATATATGTTGGGTTAAACCCGTAATTTTAATTATTAATCAATCAGGAGGTTTCAACACGTATGTTATGAAGTTAAATTTTCCTAATTACATAAAACAATAAATAGTTTAGCCCATACATATGAATAACAAGTTATTACATGTATGAAAAGTATGCGTTGCAGTCATGAATACAAAAAACATGAGCTTGAGACAGTTTTCAAAAAATAAGAAAAAAAAAGAGGTTGAATTAAGGCTCCTTGAATTTATGAAGTTCATTATTCTTGGAATCTCAAGTCTAAAAGTACAATTTGCATTTCAAAATACAAAGCAAATTCAGGCTTTTGTGCCCTCTATATCATGGGTTCTCTCCTTAATCCAAAACCAAAGGTACCTACCTACCTGCATGAGTTTCATCAAATGCATCTTACAGGTTTTTGTAGCTATCATGCCTGGTCTATCATCTAAAATTAGGGTCGAATCCTTTCGAGGTCAAATATATTCAACACTCTTTGTGATTGACCTCCTGTAATCACTATTGGACTTGCAAAATATGGAAATAGAAGAACAATCAAAACAAAGCGTTACAAAAAATTGGCATCTGCAGCAAGTTTCCATTAGAATAATGCTAAACAGGGACTTAAATCTCACATGCACAATAACATCTAAATTGGTTCCATAAAGATCATCAATGTTCAAAGTCCGTGGTATTTGTAAAAGTGCCTTTGCCATGTCATTCAAATTGGTCCAAGTACCATGTAACCAGCCACTTGACAGACTTTACCATAAATCAATGGTTTTAACACAGCTAGCCTTTAAAAAAAAAATTGAGGCACAATTTAACGTACAAAAATTGATAATTAAAAAAAATTCACGACCCAAACCAACTCACTTAACCTTCAAATTTTATGCCCCCGCCCGAAGGCCCAACAAAACCTTTAAACTTTATTAGCACAATCAAGCTGCACTGCAAATCAATTTTCACAATCTCGACAATACAATCTTCTTTTCGCTGAACTACAATAAACCAATCTTTAACTATTCCCCAAACCAATGACCCTTGTATGTAGCAAGAAATCAAACTCAAAATGTTTTTATTCTCCCTCACGTCAACCACAGTATGAATTTTAACAGCAACAGAGCAATTTTTATGAACTAAATAATGTTGTAGCATTGCCACGAAGTAAAAAAATATATAGATAGATCCATAACTCATACCTCCACTCATAAAAAAAATATGGAAAACAAAGAGTATAGAAAATAGATATGTGGGGAAAGAAGCAGAGAGAGAGAATGTTTTGGATCAGCTTGTTCCAATAAAAAAATGTTCAAGAAATCTTAGAAAGAGTACAACCAAGGAAGTTTTGTTCTTGAGGCTGTTCCTTTGTCGGTACATAACTGTAAAGTTTGGGGGAAATATTGGCACTTTTTAGCAATAAAATTAGTTTATTCTATTATAAAATATTTGCTGGTGTTTTGAAAATATGCGTTTTAAGTACTATTTTAGTTTGGATGCATTTTTCCGTTCTGTTTGTCATCAAATTTCCTTTTTGTTCTTTACATGCATACATTTTGCAAGAGAATCCGCCTAAATGTATGCTATGTTGTTCTTTGTCAAACAGAGCATTGGCAAAAAGAACAGATCTCCTTGTCAAGAGAAAGAATTCAATGTGGTGCTTGTCTACAAAATATAAGGACTACAAATGGCAGCTTTAAGAACTCCAAGGTAATCTTAAGAAGTATATAAAGCAAATGTTTCTAGAATTTCCATCCAACAAAAAGATTATGCATTTAAACTGGCAATAACATTCCAATCAGCCTAAATAAAACGCAACGCTCAACAATTTGTGTAACTATTAAGAACGACATTCTCATGGTTAACAAAGATTATGCCAAATATTATACCAAAATAAAGAGAAATTACCATCTAAACTTTCATGTGACCAACTAATGGTCAAGAAAGACCTTTTAGAAAACTGATTTAATTTCCCATAGATGGATTTTTCAGATGAAGAAGTACTTTCCGAAAATAAATTTGCCTAGATATGGGCATCCAATTTTGGGTTGCTTAATCACCTAATATTTGAGTTTTGTTTTTCATAAGATATGAAACTTTTATTAATAGGAAGAGAAGTAAAACAATGGTAGACAAGGAATCCAATCATTTAACAATAAAAAATCTCAACACATCAAGACAAAATAAACCAAGTGAGCCATAACTAAAATAGATTTTTGATTAAGCAAAACATGAATTAATTCCTCTCCTGTTTTCTAGCAATTTCTCACCAATGCTTACCCATGTTAGGGATATTTAGGATTCCCCGTTTCCCTCCAGCCCTCTTGTTTCATTCCCCTACAACTAAATAGAACAAATTGAACATACCATTATAAAACAACAAGCTTCAGTTGGATATACAATTCCACGACTTTACTCATCATAACAAAGCAAAGGAAATTCAAACAAGGAGTTCCTGTTGAAAAAAAAAATGTGTTAAACACCAGAGAAAATTCCACAACATTGTCACCACGTATACATACACAAGCAAACATATGAACCAAAATACATAGGGTTCAGATGTCTATAATAAATGAAATTTCCGTGGTCCATTTGTTATCAACAAATTAGAAATATGTTGGGCTGAGTAGAAACCCATTGCAAATATCTGATCACGCTCACATCAGCCAAAGCTTCCATGGTATTAGACCTCACAATGATAGTGGATCTACACAGAAAATAATTGATTAGCATTATTTGCAGATGCTTAAGAAAATATGCATTACCAGACTCGGCCATAAGGTTGGCTATTGACCTTGCTCCTGTCAATCAACCTTTTAAAAAGAATCTCCAAAGAAGACCATGAGATAGAAACCAAAGAGGCCTCCGTTGGATTTGGTAAATGAATTGGTGGAATGTGTATAGCCACAAATAGAGCATTAAAAAAAGAGGGTGGGAGTCGTAAACTGATTTATGTAATGGCAAAGTGAGCAATACATTCTAATCCTTAACTGAATTCTACAATGAAACCCTTATATTGCCGCTTGAAGAGAGACAGAGGGAGATGGGGAATACGCAAGAGAGAGAGGAAGATGAAGTGAGGGAGTATCGAGGGAGAGTGGGAGGTTGTAACAGCTGGCTGGAAACCTGGGACGTAGTAACGGTAATGAATTAGGTTTATTGAGACATTTATTTTGCTAAAAATTTGGGAGGTGGTAGTGCCGGTGATGAACCGGCTTTGGGAAGGCATTAATTTTGAAGGATATGGGAATGAGATATTTGTCTTTTTTTTTTTTTTTTTAGGATAGAAGTGAAAAAATAAGTGTTTTTTAAATATGTTGATATTTTATAGTAGTATAAATAATTTGCTCATTATAATTTTGCTTGTAGTTCGGAGTGTTGATGGGCCGGGTGGTCCACACGCCAGAGAGGCCCAGTTCAGAAAATGCAGGACATGGGCCAAAATTTATGTCCTGTTGGATGGATCACAAAACATTTTTGGCCCGAAGGGTAGTCCTCAGGATTCGGGCTCAACCCTAATACGCGCCGCCACTAATAGTCTCTCTCCTCAGTCTAAACCCTAAACGGCTAAACCCCTCTATATATCCTCACAATCTCCATTGCCTGTAACTCTAAGCCTCTCTAATCTCTCTCTCACAAAGTCGCACACTGATTGCAAATGACGGCGAGCACTCCAACTAGAGGTAAACGATGCTTCAAAACCACAAAATCTCTTCACTCACCTTAGGTTTTAGTCTACGGAATGCCGATTTTTGTATTTTTTGTTTGGTTTGATGATTTGCAGGCCGTGGTGGCGGTGGTGGATTTAGGGGAGGCAGAGGCGATGGGTGGAGAGGAGACAGAGGCGGAAGAGGAGGCTTTGGAGGAAGAGGAGGTTTTGGGGGAAGAGGCGGTGGTGATAGAGGAAGTGGAATGAAGCGCGGCAGAGGGAGAGACGGCGGAAGAGGTGGTGGTGGTAGGGGTGGTAGAGGAGGTAGAGGTCGCGGCGGTGGAATGAAGGGAGGGAGTAGGGTTGTGGTTGAGCCTCATAGACATGATGGAGTGTTCATTGCTAAGGGCAAAGAAGACGCTCTTTGTACCAAAAACATGGTCCCCGGCGAAGCCGTGTACAACGAAAAGAGGATATCTGTTCAGGTTATTTTCTTCTAAAATTGATGATTTGATTTGTTATACCAGTTTGGTTTTGCAAAAAGAGATTAATTATATTTGTTTGTATGATTGTTGTTTTGTGTTCTATTTTGATCAAGAGTATGCCGTTCCTAGTTTGATATATATGTTCTTTCTCTTTCTTCTCAGAACGAAGATGGAACAAAGGTGGAGTATAGGGTATGGAACCCTTTCCGGTCAAAGTTGGCAGCTGCTATTCTTGGTGGAGTTGATGATATTTGGATTGTAAGTTTGCCGTTTGTGCTTTCATTTGATAATAAATTATACTTATTCCGGTATGCAATATGCTTTCAGAGTTTTGTTAGCAGGTATTAATGGGAACCTTCTTGTTTGATGGTCTTTTATTTTAACCCAGAAACCTGGTGTTCGAGTCCTTTATCTTGGAGCTGCTTCTGGAACCACTGTCTCTCATGTGTCTGACCTTGTTGGCCCTGTAAGTCTTCCTGTCATGGAAGTAATGGATTTCCCTATAATGTTCTTCTTCTTCGAGGAATTGGCCCTTATTAAATCTTTTTTCCTTTCTCAATCTCTCTATATCTCATGTCTTTTCGGCAGACTGGAGTGGTTTATGCAGTGGAGTTCTCTCACCGAAGTGGTAGGGACTTGGTAAACATGGCAAAGAAGCGAACTAATATTATACCCATCATTGAAGATGCTAGACATCCAGCCAAGTACAGAATGCTTGTTGGCATGGTTGATGTGATATTTTCCGATGTTGCTCAGCCTGATCAGGTTTGACTTCTCTGTGTCTATTTGGTTAAAGACTTCCCTCCCAAGGAGTTGGAATCATGGATGGACGGTACATTATTGCAATGCATTGCCTCGGTTCCTTGATTGCCTTTTTCCTGGCATATTTTCATGTTCACCTGTGATTGAATTCATTGTTGGCCAATCTGTGGTGGGTTACTTTTTATCATTGCTGATATCTTGCTACTTGTTGGTTTCTCATTTCATTCTTTTAAAACTTTTACAAACATCTACTTGCAAAAAGGGACCATGGGTCCACATTGGGGTATTTTTTAGAAGCAATGCCTGATAAAAATACTCTTTATGAAAGACGTTACTTAAAAATCTTCACTATCATTTTATTCTTACATTTATTACCACCACCATCACCGTTGCCACCCACCACCACCATTCATCACCACCCACTGACACCACCAAACACATTTATATTTATGAATATTTTTGCTATGGATGTCTGATTATTATTCTGAAGATGATTTATGCAATTTTGATGTATCTAAAGATTTTGTGTTTTTGACATTCTGGTTTTTGTTTTGGTCATATGTTTAGATCATCGCTGTCCTTTACATTTTCTTGTTCGAAAATTAATAGTTTTTCTTGTTCTTGATTTTTTCTTCTCTGGTGGAATACTATTTATGAAACCTGAGACGACTATTTTTTTATTTCTCCTTCTGATCTAAGCTTGAAGAAATTTTTATGATTTTTATATCAGCAAGCAGATGATGAGTTACTCGGATTCCCCTTCAAGACATTATGGGTGATGCAAAACCGAGTTTCTGATGCAGTTGTGAAGTTGTTATCATATGATATTAATTACTTTCTCTTGAAAAAAGGTTGACTTGTGCACCCAATTTATATTCAGGTTTTTTTAATCTATTTTTCTATGGAAGAATATAATCCACTCGACGCACAGATTTGATTAAATTTCTTTCACGGAATTTAGTTTTGATATACTGGCATTGGAAGCCCTAGCAGTTTTGGGAGCCTGCTTTGTACATTGAAAAGGAGAGCAATAGTAGTCGTGTTATTGAAGAAGTTCAGGGATGTTATGTATCACTTGTTCATTTATTGAGAAGCATTGGCATTTTGTGCTTTTCACGTTGCATTGGCATTTTGTGCTTTTCGTGTTGCATTGGCATGCAATTTTGATACATACTTGGTGCTTTTCACATTTTTTGTGTTGTGTTGGAAGCCAAAGACATCTTTGCATTTGGTTGTTGTGGCCTGTAAGTGTAACATAATCTTAGGCACTTCTGAATTCTGTGGTTGTACAGTTCTTTTCAGGGTTGAGTTCAAGGGTTGGGGAGCAAAGGGGAACTAGCATATTTAGGCACATTCCCTCTATCACATAGCAATTTCTTTAAGCTGTAGGGTCTTTGTCCTGCATGTCATGAGTTTTTCTACTAGCATAATGCCCTTGCACATGTCTGGCTGCTAGATGGAGTGATTCTTGTGAGGATCATCATTCATTACTGACAATTCCATCTGGTATGTCGTATCATAATCATGCATCAAAGGAATGGGTGTACCGGGCTACCTTATCAAATGTATTGTGTATTTTTGTTCACATTCATTATTTCTCTTTGCAGGCTAGGATTTTAGCACTGAATGGGTCTTATTTCTTAAAAGCTGGAGGTCATTTTGTTATATCAATCAAGGTTTGTATTTTGGATTGAATATCATTCTGAAAGAGTGGAGACCTCGCTTCCTTCTATTATAGTTTAGAAATTTGATCTAATATCAGAAATATTT